ATAAAGACTTACATTGGAGATGGACATAAATCTGTGCCCTAAAAGCTGGAAATGACTCCAGTTAAGCTCTATTATTAGACACTAGTAAAAATAAGATTCAGTTATGTGCCTGCCTCTCTTAAAATCATACTACAGGGTTTTTTGAAAATTCATGTTTTTGTCACTCAATTTTCCTGTGAACCTAAATCTGCTATAAAAATAAAATGCATTTCAAGAACCATATACCAAACAATAAAACCAACATCATCACTCAGATCTGATTGGCTATGGTACTATTTTCACTATGCCATAGATTTCTTTCTTCCTGATGAAACAGATAATATGTTTAATATGACTAAAAATAGAATTTTTTACTCAAGTTTTAAAACTCTTACTTTGTCAACAATCTGACTCTTCAATGTCTATTGGTTATTGAACTATGCAGCAGGGTGGCATGTACACCAATGAATACTCAAAATCTCTAATTGGGATGGGAATTTCAAATATAGTGTCATTCCTGGTTAGTACAGGAACTATTTTAAAATGTGGTCCCCTATGAATATCAACTCTAGTGTTGATTTTGACAACATTGATCTAATTATAATGCCTAACATCTCCAAACAAACAAAAGTCTGGTATGGGATGGTATCCCACGGATTCTATCAGACATTTAAAGAAGAGTTATTAGCTATTCTCCTCAAAGTGTTTCAAAAAGTAGAAATGGAAGGAAAACTTCCAAACACAATTTGTGGAGCCAGCATTACCTTGATTCCTAAACCAAAGACCCCACTGAAAAGGAGAATTATCGGCCAATATCCCTGATGAGAATGGATGCAAAAATTATCAGTAAAATACTGCAAATAAAATTCAAGTGTGCATTAAAGGAATTATTAACCACTATCGAGTGGTATTTATTCCTGCCTGCAAGGTGGTTCAATATTCACAAATCAATCAACATGATATACCACGTTAATAAAATAAAACCTAAGAGCCATATGATCCTGTCAAAATTGCAGAAGAAGCATGTGAGAAAATACTGCATCCTTTCTTCATAAAAACCCTTGACAAAGTAGGGATAGATGGAACATACCTGAACATCATAAAGACCAAATATGAAAATTCCACAGCTATTCTCATCATCAGTGGGCAAATACTGAGAACCTTTGTCCTACATTCAGGAGAAAGACAACAATGTCTACTTTCATCATTGTCTATACTACCTAAAAGCAATCTATACATTTAATACAATCCCTATCAAAGTACCACTAGTATTTTTCACAAAGTTGGAACAAACAATTGTAAAATTTGTAGGAATCACAAAAGACCCCAAATAGCCAAAGCATCTCTGAAAAAGGAAAAACAAAACTGAAGGCATCATGATTCTGGATTTCAAGTTATATTACAAACCTGTAGTGATCAAGACAGTATAGTACTGGCACAAAGACAGACACATAAATCAATGGAACAGAATAGAGAACCCAGAAATGGCCCCACAACTATAGAGTCAACTAATCATGTGGCCAGACACATGAAAAGATGCTCAACCTCACTCATCATCAGGGAAATACAAATCAAAAGCACCATGAGATACCACCTCACAACTGTTAGAATGGCTAAAATTAATAACACAAGGAACAACAGGTATTGGCGAGGATGCAGAGAAAGGAGAACCCTCTTGCACTATTAGTGAGAATGCAAACTGGTGCAGCCACTTGGAGAACAGTTTGGAGGCTCCTCAAAAAGTTAAAAATAGAACAACCATATGATCTAGCAATTATCCTAGTAGGTATTTACCCAAAGAATACAAAAATAGAGATTCAAAGGGGTACATTCACCCTGATGGTTGCAGCAGCATTATCAACAATACCCAAACAATGGAGAGATCCCAAATGTCCATCAGCTGGTGAATGGATAAAGATGAGCTATACACACACACACACACACACACACACACACACACACACAATGTAGTATTATTCATCCATCAACAAGAATGAACTAGCCATTTGCAACAATATGGATGGAGCTAGTATATTATGCTAAGTGAAATACATCAGTCAGGGAAAAACAAATATCATATGATCTTCACTCATGTGTGGTATCTAGAAAAGAAAACAGATGAACATATAGGAAGGAGGAAAAGAAAAAAGGGGAGGGAGAGGGAAATAAGCCATAAGAAATTTTTCACCATGGAAAACAAACTGAGGGTTGATGGAGGGAGGTGGGTGGAGGATGGGCTAGGTGGGTGATGGGTATTAAAGAGGGGAGGGCACTTGTTAGGAGCACTGAGTGTTGTATGTAAGTGATGAATCACTGAATTCTACTCCGGAAACCAATATTGCACTGTATGTTAACTAAATGAAATTTAAATTAAAAAATAAAAAAGAGGGGGACCTGGGTGGCTCAGTGGTTGAGGATCCGCCTTTGGTTCAGGTTGTGATCGTGGGGTCCTGGGATTGAATCCCGTATCAGGCTCCCTGTGAGGAGCCTGCTTTTCCCTATGCCTATGGCTCTGCCTCTCTCTGTGTGTCTCTCATGAATAAGTAAATACAATCTTTAAAAAACAATAAAAAAGAAAGAAAGAAAGAAAGAAAATACCTAACAACTTTGTCATGTGTTCACTGAACTCAAATGTTGTCTATTGCACAAAGATCACAATTTACTAATCTTCAGGCACGCCTATATTTAATACTTTCAATTGAGAACCTGCTTTTTCAGAAGTTGGTCTCCTCAGTGTAAGTAATAGTCCTCCTATAGAAAATGTACTCAATTACTCAAGAAATCTTCCATCCACTGATAGTCTACAAAAATGTGAGATTATTTATATCTTAACAATAGGAAAACCCTCACATTTCTATCTTCAAATGTCTTAAGGAATTGCCAGACAAATGGCCTGGACTTAATGCCTTCCCTGGCACTGGATACCTCTTAATTCTCTTATATTTTCATTTCTTTAATATTAACTTAAATCACTTTGCTATCATATAAGTTTGATATAATCAAGAATCCAAATTAAAGGGTTTTCATTAGTCAGTGCATTCATACTCTTGCCATATGGTCTCTATATTCCATGGGTATACAACGGAAAGAAATGAGAAAACAATTTTACTTTCCACTTCCAACATCTTTGACAACCTTAGTTATAAGTTCACTATGATGGGGAGAATGTGATGGGCAGATATCCACATTTAGAGCTATGGATAGAGCACTACCTACATCACCAGCCTTAGAGAGGATATAAAAATGAAAGCCAGAGTAGTTTCTGTGAGGAGGGCATGTTTAGTCTATTTCCCAGATCTATCCTGCTTTGTGTCCTGACCATAATGGATTGCGTGAATGACTTCTTTCATTCTCTGGCTTCTGGTTTGACTTGGTTAGTGATGGGAGCTGCAAACAGGAATACAGAAGAACATACAGTTGAGGTGTTTACTCTCCTGGGTTCCCACCAACTCCCCATAATGGCTGCATCTCTCTATAAAAAGGATAAGTGCATGTCAAATGTCCTTTCCACAAGATACTTTTTCTGAGTTCAGGTAAATTCTTTTTTCCTTTGCCACATCAAGACTAGTGATGGTAGCAAACTATTCATCTGGAATACTATAAATACATAGATACAGATAAAAATATAAATATAGACCTTCTTCATTTTCCTTAATCTTGCCTACATATTTCATTGACTCCTGACCCCTTCATCGAATTCTTGAAATTAACCAGTTTGAGTGTGGCATCTCTTTCCTAACAATTCCTTAATAAATCCAAAGAAGAAATGTCTACCTCATATACATGTATACATCTCTGTCACTTTCCATCTCTTGTGTTTATCACCATGACTATCACTATCTGGAAGTTTATTACATGTTGAAATTTTAATATGTGTAATACTTTTCTTCATTGTTTTTTACAAGAAACTTAATATTCATTTTTCATTCATTCATATTCATTTCATTCATTCATTCATATTCATTTTTTGGTTAATCATGTACAAAATATTTTTTTCAAAACCTCAGAGGAGCCAGTTGTTCAAGTATAAGAGAGAAAACTTCAGATAAATCATTGCATATTTATTTTTCTTATATACATCAGTTAGAGAAAACTAGCACTGAGAAAAGATAAAAGCAGATGACAGATGGAAGAAAATACCAGCAATCAGAGCCTCATTGTCCCTATGGTACTAGAATGAAAAATAATTAGTACAGATTCTCTTTGAATGCTCTTTCTTATTGCTCATCTACATTTCTATTCTTCCATTGGAGTGTACACTTTAAGTTTCAATATTGAAAATTTGTTTCCTCTTATTTCTTACAGAATTAGGTGAGATAGCAAGAGTCTACTTCCTTCCTATTTTGTTTAAAGTTCTTAAGACATTTTTTCCTCATAGGAGTGTACACTGACCAAGGGGTATATTTATATATTTTTTACTGCCTTTCCGGGTGAGTATACAGCCCTGTGAGTGTGAAGTGTTGATTAGTCTGGTGAAAATTAACCCAATGCATTCATCACCCAAGCTTTTTCGGATACTGATTTCAACAGAAGTAAAGGAAACAAAGAAATGCAATCTTATTATTTATTCTATATCTAAACTGAAACAGCTATTTTATTATGATTTGGCTCAAAGTCTGTGAGAATAAGGTCTACTTTGCTTCATTGGAAAGAAAATGTACCTAGTTGCTGGTGCCCAGTCTGCTATATATTACCTCTGTCAACTTTGTATAGCTAACTTCTGTAAGTCTTATTTTTAACATGGAAAATTTGGCTTCTCTTGAAACCTGAGCAAAAAAAATCTCCATAGATGTTTTGGGTAAAATGAATTTCCTCTTTCTAAACCTCTTTGTACCAGGATTTTGAGATACTTTAAAGCTAGAAAGTAATGATAGAAAAAATTACAATATTTTTCTTATAGATAAATGTAAAATTTATTAACTATAACATACTCAATATGCACCAAATGTGTCCAAGAAATTCTAAACTGGTTATCTTCAGAATGAAGGTCATGGATGCAAAGGTCAAAATTAGAGAGAATCTTATCCCTTCCAAGTGTGAGAAAGCCCAACCTTTTTGGGTGCTAATATCCTTAGAAAACCTTGACGAATCTGCTTTGTCTTGATGCTATAAATAATTGGATTAAGTACTGGTGGAATTAGCAGGTAAATATTAGCCATGGTTATATGGACAATGGGGGAGGAGTGTTTTGCGAAACGATGCACCAAGGATAGCCCTATCATGGGCACATATAGAATGAGCACAGCACAAATGTGGGAAGCACACGTGTTGAGAGCTTTGAGCTTCCCTCCCTGGGATGCAATGCCTAGCACAGAATGGAAGATGAAAGCATAAGATAACAAAATTCCTAGAGAATCTACACCCCAATAAAATGCAACAACAAACAAGCCATATAAAATGTTGAATGAGATATCAGCACAGGCCAAATGGATGACTTCTTGATGCAAGCAGAAAGAGTGGTAGAGGATATGGGAATGACAGAAGGAAAATGTAGGAATACGAACAAGAACAACAGGGAGGACAATGGAGCATCTGAATATAATGAAGACCCCTATATAGATAATGCGTTGTGGGGTGAGTTTGCTGGAATACCTCAAAGGATGGCAAATGGCAACATACCGGTCAAAGGCCATGGCTAGAAGCACAGCTGACTCCATCAGAGAAAAAGTATGAATAAAATACATTTGGGCCACACAAGCATTCACCTCAATCTCCCTGGCATCAAACCAGAAGATTTTTAATACTGTGGGCAGGGTAGAAAAGGACATGCCCATGTCTGTAAGGGACAGCATGGCCAGGAAGTAGTACATGGGCTTGTGGAGACTCTTGTCTGTGCGGATGATGTAAAGGATTGTGCAGTTGCCCACTACTCCAATCAGGTAGCACATGCAAAAAGGGATGGAAATAAAGTGATTAATATTCTCATAGCCAGGAATCCCAGTGAGGTAAAACAAAACAGACTGTTCAGTACTGGAGTTAGAGCCTGTCATGAGTCTGTCCCATGTAGCCATTTTCCTACGGTAAAAATGTAGGCTCCTAGAAGGAAGAAAAATACACAATATTGAGAAAACAGCAACTTACATTTCTAAGTTAGGTGTTTTCTTAATTCTTATTGCTTTGTAGAGACATTATACAGTTTGGAAAATGATTTTGAAAAATTAGCCACACACACCACCTTCTTTTAATGTATTACTTTTTAACCTTTTAAGTGGATTATGGTTATTATGTAGTTTTTTAATCAGTCATTTATTCTATTGATTCTGGATTTTGAGTCATTCACAGGATTCTCTTTCCTCCTCTAAATTTATAATACATTCTCCTATCTTTTCTACTAATATTTTGATAGGTTGGTTTGTTTCTATTTACTTTTAGATTCATTGTTTACTTGCCATTTATTTTTGTGTATGACATTAGGTAAGGATATTTTCCAAGCCCCTGACCTACCCATGTTAACCATTAATTTTCCTCTGACATGGACACTTGATGGAAACATTCTAGAAGGAATGTCAGAAAAAGCTTAGACAATAAATGCATAGAGTTAGCTATCTCCAATGGAAAAAACCCACAAGACTAATTGAATCCCTTTATAAAATATGAATGGATATTTCATAAAATATGAATGATATGACTTCAAAAACATTGTATATGTAGTGAGTGTGGTTACCAATTAGAGAGGGAAATAAATAAGCCTTCAAACTGGTTTAAATGGGAACCAGAATCCCACAAGGATCTGAACATTTACCTCATTTAGTCAGTCATGGGTATTTGGGGTTTGCTTTCCATTTCATATTCTCCACCAAGGTTCTTGTGTACTTGTGTACTTGTACTGCAGTCAGGCCAGAGTTTTACTTAAGTGAATTGTTAACATTTTTTCCACTGATGCAATTGATTTGTGAGCCACATCAGTCTTGCTGATCCGGGACACTCTCTTTTGGTGTCACTGGAAATCGCAACTGTTTTTCTAATGGTCCTGTATGTGGACATGGCCTTAGGCCATTTCTGACAGAATCAAGAAAAATACCAGCAATCACAGTCTCACTGTCTTTATGGTCTTAGAATGAAGTTAGTATCCCCCCACATCCCTGATTCAGTGGTCCATTATAATTGCAGCAATCTGGTGCCATTCTCCTAATTTTCTTGATTTGCTTTTTTGCTCGTTCAGTTTTAATGTATTTCAGTTACAAAGTGAAAAAAACCCTATCTCATAGTATGGTACAGATAATTACACTAAATAATGTATGAAAGTGCCAATCCCAGTCCTCTTTCAGTTTGAATTTTTACATTTTAATGATAATATTTGTAAAATATTAGATATTTATAAAATATCTCCAATGACATCAAAAGAGAGGCATGTTATAGATAAGGAGACTGAGGCTTAGAGACTGAAGTGGTTTTTCTGAAGTCACACAGGCACAAGAATAGCTTTCATAAATATCAGTTTCAGGGCTCTGCTCACGTAGATGGTGATTCCCCAGAATAGTGGCTGCTTCCCCAGTCTGCTTACTATGGCCATGTGACTAACTTGGTCAACATTTGAGCTCTGATCTATCACCACATGCAGTTCCCAGTGCCAAAGCAAAGTTAAAACAAACAATAAATTCAGTTCCTTCAGATACTTCACTGGTTCAATATCTTACCCATCTATACTTTCTGTCACATTTTCCTTCTGTCACAACACAGGATATGTGTGTTACTAAAGCCCTGGTTGCTTAACCATCTATACCTATTCTTCATAATGCAATGATTCTTTCACAAGAGTAATTTGGCTATGAATGGAGATCTCTACATAAAGGAAAGACATATCATTATATAATTCCTTAAATTGATTCATGAATTATAATCATATCCCAATATCCAAGAATACTTTTAGACTCCTTAAATTATTTATGTATGTATTATGTTTGAACCACTAAATATTTATATGATATCAACAGAGACCGTGATACACATAAGTAGCCTGAGGTTCAGAAATGTTACAAAGCAAACACAAGAATCATTAGAATTAGGGCCACCTCAATGGCTCAGTCAGTTAAGTTCCTGACTCTTAATTTTGGCTCATGTCATGATCTCAGGGCTGTGATATGGAGCCCCACTCCATGTCCAGCATGAAGCCTGCTTAAGATTTTGGTTTATGTATACAATGGAATATTACTCAGCCATTAGAAACAACAAATACCCACAATTTGCTTTGACATGGATGGAGCTGGAGGGTATTATGCTGAGTGAAATAAGTCAGTTGGAGGACAAACATTATATGGTCTCATTAATTTGGGGAATATAAAAAATAGTGAAAGGGAATAAAGGGGAAAGAAGAAAAAATGAGTGGGGAAATATCAAGGAGGGAGACAGAACATGGGAGACTCCTAACTCTGGGAGATGGGCTGGGGGTGGTGGAGGGGGAGGTGGGCAGGGGGTGGAGGTGGCTGGGTGGCAGGCACTGAAGGGGGTGCATGATGGGATGAGCACTGGGTGTTATTCTATGTGTTAGCAAATTGAACACCAATAAAAATTAAATTTATATATATATAAAAAAGACATCTTAAAAAAAAGATTTTCTCTCTGTCTCCCTTTGCCCTGCCCTCCTGCTCAGATTTTCTTCCTCTTAAAAACAGATGATAAATAGATAGATGATAGATAGATGATAGATAGATAGATAGATAGATAGATGATAGATAGATATAAATAATCATTAGAATTAGAATCTAAGCCCCTGCTTCTAAAGGTTCTGTAACTGCTACTGAAGCATTTTAACTATTTCAGAGAGTTGTCCCAATTCTGTACTATGATGACCTTTAGTCACACACTAGGAATTAGAGTGATGGATATAATTCACAAAGAGCCCTTCCCACTCAGAGTGCAGAACATGTTTACGAAGGTTCCCTAATACCCTTGTCCTTTCTTGCAAACACCTCCAAAAACACATGTGTTGTTTTCTTACCTTTCTTTACTATTTTACCCAAAAGGTAGGTCTAGAAGAAAATTGAGGGATGCAGGTCTTGAAAGAAAGGTTTTGTTGGTCAGAGAAAAGAGTGAAGTGGGGAGACCTATGAGAATCTCCAAGAGTGGGGATATAGAAAACAGTCTACTGGATATCTCTGCTTGTGTGTCTAAAAGGCAGAGATCACATGGCCATGAAAGAATTCTTGATAATTGCCTTAATAGTTCCATTTTAGTAAATGTAACTCATGCTGTGTAGTTAATAATATGCAAAACCTAGGCATTATGCTTGATTATTCAAACCTTTTACTCCTATTCAATCAATGATGTGCCCTCTTACTTCTATATCCAAAGTATTTAACTAATTCACTTCTGCTCTTTATCTCTGTCATGATTTCTCTTCTAAACTGTTTTACAAGCCATTTAACTCATCTGATTCTTACTTTTTTGTGTGTCATCCCTTTAAGTCAATTTTTCTTATAGCAAAAAATTTTGAAAGACATAGGCAAGGTAAATCATTCCTGTGTTTAAAATGTGTTAACTACTGCCTACTGATCTCAGGATGAAAGGAAAGCTATTGTCATTACTAATAAGATCCTTCTTTCTAGTATATGGGGAAAGGGAGGTGGATTTGCACATGTGATTTTACCCCTACTCCTCTTCCTCTTTACCTTTGTGCTCAAATCCCCCAGAGTGCCTCACAGAAAGCTTTACTATTTCTGACCTCAAAACATATTATTGTTACCCTTGTTCACCAAACTACAAACATTGTTTCCCTCTGTTTGTATAATAATCCAAGTTTCCTTCTCATAATTCTATTCAAATATTCTCTGTCCACTTATCTAAAATACTTAAACATATCTTGCATTACTGTACCACATTATGCATTTTTCCAACAAAATCCACTCTTTTCACTTTTTCTAAATTATTTCCAATTTCCTACAATCTCTTCTTTACCCTACATTTTATTCCCTCTTTTCCATTGAAAAATTGTTTTTCCTCCAAGCCTAGCCCTCCTCCCCCATAACAGACTTACTTGAGTCTATAGCCACTTCTATTTCCCCATGATAATGAACTTCTGCTGCTTTGCTTTCTCGCTCATAGAGTGCTCCAGTTGGAGATAGTGTTTTCTAAAGGGCATAGGAAGTTGCCAGTTTATCTATCTGAGGCAAAAGAAGCTTTAAGGTTTTCCTGGTTATATAGGGTTCCTGGAAGCTTGAGGGAACCATAGCCACTAATGCTACTTAAGAAGTAGGAACATATGGGCCTGAGGGATGAATGTTCTCAGGATGAGACAGTGGGGATTTCCGCAGGAACAGAGGATGCCTAAGGGAGACTCAGGTGGACAAATTCAAGGAAACTTTGTATCTCTGATGGCTGGCTGAGCTTAGATACATGGCAGGAGTGGATGGGTTCCAACTGGTTAAAGCCTTTAGTAGAATAAAGGGTCTATGAATCCTAAGATTGCACAATTGCCCCTGTTTTGCAAACACCACATCTCTACCCTGTTATACCTTGGGACTAGACTGCAGCTTCATGAATGGGTATCTCTGCTTAGTTCAGTCCATTAGAGGAAGGCCAGGGAAGGAATTGGTGAGAGAGTAGATGTAGGAGTCCCATATTCTGAACAAACTTTAGAAATCTATGATATTTGAGTAATGTTTCATGCTGCTCAAAGCAGTGTTAAATGCAGTATATCATTTTACATTTACAAAACCCTGTGGAGTACTCATCTTTTAAGTTGACTCTTCTGAAACTTAACTACTAATAGCTTAGTTACTACTGACTTAACAATAGGTAATTATATAACTTCTTAGTTTACATGTTAATGTAAAGATTACAAATTTGTAATTATTCTTGGGTTCAAATTGCAGTATAATTAATTCATACTGGAATAGTTTTAGGCAAATGAACATTTTTAGCTTGTTTTCTTAACAGTGTCATGGTATGATTACATACCCATGAAATTCCTTAAGTATTAAATGGGAAATGGCAAACAGTATGGAGGTTCCTAAAAAAATATAAAAATAGAATTACAATATGATCCAGTAAT